CTGTGGCTAGCCCGAGTTCTGAAAGCAAAGGAGGAGCGTGGCCACTGGAACCTAGGGAGGGTAGCTGTATGGAGACAGTCACCCAAGAGAAGCGACAGCCTTGGGCAGAGGGATGCAGTCACCCTAGGGGCCCCTCCAGGGAGGAAGTTGGGAAAATCAATACCCTAAACTCATTCTTCTCCAACCAACAAAATGCCTTCTAGTCCCTCTCATCGTCTGCTCCAGTCAGAAGCCACAGGGCAAGAGTGCCTATCAGTGTCACTGGTAAAAGTCACGTTTGGAGGGAACACAGTGAGGAAGGATAAGAGTGGCTCTGGTAGGGCAACGGTTCTCCGACGTGCATTTCACCTCATCTTTTTCTCCTGTCTACCTTCCTTCCCTTATTTTTGACAAATAAAGAATGCCCAAGATGTGAACTTCTTCAAGAGCTATCTGGGAATGACTGAATTTTAAAGTCTCTAAATAATCAAGAGCTTTCTATAATCTATATAAAAGAAGCTTTACCCAAAGTCTGGGCCAGCGGTTACATCTCTATTTGGAAGAATGAGCAAAGGCCTTAAAGCTACTACCACCAATTTCTATCTAACCCTAGACTTGAAGCAAGCTAATAAGCTATAGAACTTTTCTTTGATCTGCCTGGAGAGAACCCTCCCTGTGGTATATTTAATTTTTGTGACAAATAGAGTACTTCAAATAACTTTCATTGTTTAAGTTCCATAAAAGTTTGCATAAAACCAAAAGATGAAATCTATGTTCCAGTGAAACAGCCCCTTGAATTATTTTCTATCATATTTCATAAAACATATTTTTCACCAGTATTTCTAAATAAAAAAATTATCTCACACATTACAAGTTTCCATTTACATGACGTCCAAAAACAAGCAAAACTAACCAATAATGGTATATGTTAGAATAATGCTTACTTCTGATAGGAGAAGGAGGATTCAGGCTGGCAACAGGCATGAAGGAACCTGCTGGAAATGCTCTAACTCCAGATCTTGTTTTATAGCTTGACATATATGACATGTTATCAAGAATTATTGGGCTATGCCATTAAGGTTAGTAGACTTCAAGCACTACAATGTTTGTTGAGGCATTTTATAATGCAATTTAAAAAGAAATAATTATTCAATGATTTTCCTAATTACCTCCTCAACAAATATCTTAATGTAAAAAAGGTTTTGCGTTCATACATTTATTAGGCAGCAAACTGTGGTTGTCAGCCCATTTGCCTCTTTTCTACACAGTTTTACTGGAACACAGCCACCGGCTGCTTTTGTGCCTTAGCTGCATGGGTGAGTAGTTAGAGATGGCAAGAAGTACAAAGCCCAAGATATTTACTATCTGATCCTTTAAGAAAAATTTTGCCAACCCTTGACTTAAACTTCACATAATAAATTGTCTTTTTTCTAGGAGAATTCAAATTAATCTCATTCAGATACCAAAGTAACAAGAGGAAGATTCTTTAGACAGCTTAGTAAATTACTCAGTAAAAAATCTTGCAACCAAGAATTTTACAAAATTCTAACATAGGGTGGCCACATCCTTCTGCTTGAGTTACACTATGGGTTTAAGACACAGATCACAAACTGGCATTCTGTTTGGCATTCTGTTTAGACTTACACAAAGTTAATTTTTTTTTTTTTAGCTGATGCCAACATTTAAAAATAGGAGAGTACTTTTTTTTTTCAAAAACCAAGATTTTGCTTCTCATTTAAAAAATAAATGGAAGATCCAGCAATATTGGGACCATATTCCTACAAGGTAACAATGAGCTCAAGTGACTTCATTAACAGAGAGGCCAAGCATCACTGACACTCAGTGTCGCTTCTGCTTCATTTCTCTTACAGCACAGTTGAGAGGAAAATGAAATGAGGCTTCTAGTTGCACCTACATAAGGAGTAGGAAAGTGGAAGACAGACAGAGGCAGAGATTTCTTTAACACTCAGCTCACTCGTTAATCTTAGTGACTCTTGGGCACATGAGTTGAAACTTGAGGTTTAAGCAATGGCCTCTAGGGAAAATGGCAGAAAAGAATGAGAGGAATCTGGCCCGAAGGGCCAAAAAGGGCAATGGTTTACGCCTCTAGACATCAAGAGGTGGGTGTCTTCCTCTATCTCCCACCTTGGGACAATTCTGCCTATTAAAAAGCTTTTTACTATTTTTTGCAACTTCTTGTGAGTCTGTAATTATTTCAAAATAAAAATGTTTTCTGAAAAAGCTTTGTCTTACACTGACTAAAAATCTGTCCAGTTTCATAAAACAAGTTTAATCCTCTTCCATCAGAAAGTTCTGCCACTTTCTATAGCAGGAAGTCCCCAATCCCTGGGCCTCGGGCCGGCACTAGTCCGTGGCCGGTCAGGAAATGGGCCACACAGCAGCAGGCGAGAGAATTAGCACCTGAGCTCTGCCTCCTGTCAGATCCATGTGGCATCAGATTCTCACAGGAGCGCAAACCCTACCATGAACACCACATTTGAGAGATCCAGGTTGCATGCTCCTTACTAACTAACGCCTGATGATCTGAGGTGGAACAGTTTCATCCTGAAACCATCCCCCTGACCTCCCCGATCCGTGGAAAAATTGTCTTAAATGAAACGAGTCCCTGGTGCCAAAGATGTCAGGGACCGCTGATCTAGAACTCCTGCCCAGATTCTCACCAAGAGTCTCCTTTCCCAAGGACTAGAAAAAGAACAATTATTATCACCTCTCTTGCTGTATCATGAATTCATTCAATTAGCAAATACTTACTGAGCACACACCATGAGTCAGATACTGTTCTAGATTCTAGGGGTACAACACTGAACTATGTTCTTGCCCTGGAGAACCTAAACTAAGTTATTAGGTGGCCATATCATACTACCAATTTTATTACACTAAATTTAGTCCACTAAATTCTCTTTTTTTTCTTTTTTGACAGGGTCTTGCTCTGCCACTGATGCTGAAGAGAAGTGATGCAATCACAACTCACTGCAACCTTGAACTCCCAGGCTGAAGAGATCCTCCTGCCTCTAACTCCCAAGTAGCAAGGACTACAGGCACACACAACCATGCCTGGCTAGTTTTTATTTTTTGTAGAAACGGCGTCTCACTATGTTGCCACGCTAGTCTTAAACTCCTGGCCTCAGGCAATCTTTCCGCCACAGCCTCTCGAAGTGTTGGGATTACAGGTGTGAGCCACCATACTCAGGTTCTAATTCTTTTTTATATCCACTGCCCAAATTATAAGCTTAAGCAAATGGGTATATGGGTCCAATTTTCTTAATGCTAATCCTTCCTTACTAAACACTGTATTTTTAGACTCTTCCCTTCTCTCTAGTCTGTCAAGAACTTCTAGAATAGCAGTTTCTTTTCCACCTTAACATACACTCTATCCCTTCTAGTTTCTTGTTGTCTGCAAACCTGATAAACCCATCCTTCGGTATAGTCATCCAAGTCAGTCATTAAAAGGTTGAAACAGGACAGCACTGAGGTCCCTAAGACCCCTGACATACATCTCTAGCATCTACCCTAAGAGACATGAGTCCATTATTTAATGCTCCGTGGCTTCCCTCTCTCAGTGAGCTATGAGTCCAACCTGATTTGCCCTATCCACAAGAATATCACTAGGTCTACATCAAACCCCTTGCTAAATTTCAGATACAGTATGCTCACCAATATTCTCTAATCACCTAGTGGGCAAAAGAAGAATTTTTTTTTAATGGGAAGAGAACAGATAAAAAGGAAGAACAATGGAGTAAGGACAGGTCATTACATAGCTTCCAAAATAAACCAGAATTCTTGAATAAATGCTAGGTATACTTAAAAAAAAAATCACTCTTTGGGGAGGTGAAAATCACATCACTGTTTATAAGAAATGTTGTCTTTCAGGCAAATGATTTAATCATATGAACTTTTATACACTATACCTTTGGCCACAGTATAGATGAACACAATTAGCAAATTGAATCTTTGGAACCTGTTTGCTATTGTTAAAGCTAAGCAACTTTTTTTTTTTTTCAACTAAAAGCTTCTGCCTTTAATACACTCACTGGTGGTTATTAAAAAATGGAAATGTGTTTGAATTTCCAGAAGTATATTTGAACTCTGTAAAGTATACAGTTCTCATGAGGGAGTCCGATTGAAATATTTTAAAAAGCTATTATATGTGACTAAGGCATAAAGATGACACAAATTAACATTCAGCACTTGGAAGTGAAATAAAAACAAAAAGATAATTCATGAATATGGTAATGACTGTTCTCTGGCACAAAATCTGAAAGCGCTTTATGCATTTTAAGTGAACTTCAAATTTTAAGTAAACTTCCGGAGTATCATTGTCAAGTTTTAGAACTATCACCCAGCAAGTCATTTTACAGACACAATCTGGGATTTATGACAATTTGGCAAACACTACATTATAGTTGATTTTCTTCCCACTAAGGAGAAAAGTTTAGCCCAACAACAGTACCAACAAGTTTATGTGAAGCATGTATAACTTGAAGAAAACAAACCATCAGCACTTTAGACCTATTCACATGACTAGAGAAGTGTTGTTATATGCTACATGCATTAAAGTCAAGTCTTTACTCTCCATACATTTTGAACCCAGCAGATGTTAGATTTACCTTGAAAGCAACAAAGAAGGATTTATTGTGAAATACTCTAAGTTTGTTGCCCTTCAGTATACTCCCAAATTTCGCTGACGAGCTCAACTTTTACTTGCTAATACATGTCTTTAAAAAAAAAAAAAAAAAAAAGCAAACTGCAATAGTTTTATTTCAGCGCTAAGGTAATTAAAGCACAATACTTCACTGTCTTCCAACATATATGAAAGTCGAAAAGTTTTTACTTTATTCAGTGAAGGTGGCTTCAATGTCACTGCTGATCAAGAGGGGAGTTCCATCCTATCGTGCTGTGTTCTATTTGCTGTAATTCTCTGCCTGCTTTCCAGACTTAGAGTTTTGGGAATTAGAGAATATTCACTTCCAGGGCAATTCCCAGCCCTCCACACTGCTTACCTGAATATATTTCCGCTGAGTTTCGTCATTTAAAACATGTGCAACATGCTTGGAAAAAATCTTTTCTCTGCCAGTTCTAGCATGGATACCAACCATAGTGACACCGATGGGCCAAGGCGCATTTCCAATGGCCATCTGAAGATAAGCATCATTTGCCTGAAAGGAAAGTGTAAGAAGAAATCAGAAAGGCAGAAATGTATTGGCTCAAATTCTTATTGAAAGTATTTCACAGCCCTTTATGATGTAATTTTCATCCACCTTTTGGGCACATCGAAAATATTACCATTACTGTTATTCAAACAAAACAGATTAAAATATAGGGTAACAGACTGCCCTGCCCAGGACCACCAATGTCCATGGAAAAACAGAAATCAAAGCTAGGTTGTGAGTTAAAAAAAAAAAAGGCAAACATTCCTTTGCAGCCTTTGTGTGCTGGAAATTAATACATCTCAGATCTGGAATTACCAAGTAGGCACTTCGATGCACTGATGAAAATTCTAGTTTCGGTCTCCTTTAGACCCAGTCTTCTCCATAGGCAGTCATGTAGAAGACAGGGGCTAAGTAGTTTTTTATCATCCAACCCTATACAATATCCACTCCCTACACAGCATCGTGGCTCCCCGAAGGCAGTGGGGGCTCGGTATGTGGGGACCACCACACCGGGTCTATAACAGATGTGTAAACAGAGAGGAAACACTGGCCCTCCAATCGAATAGCTGAAAGATGAGATCGCTCCACTTTGCCCCTCACCCAACCTCCCACCTGCCAAGAACCTTTAAAGAAGAGCCCCAAAAACATGAAGATAGAAACCAATGAAGACAAATGGCTCTTTTTCCTAACCAAGCTGGCTAGCTGTGAGGAAGAACGAGAAACACAGAAAGCAAATAAATTCTAAAAGATCTCCAGGTTTAAGAGAAGCTTATAAAGCCAGGCCTCAAGGAGATTTTAATTTTAAAAAATCAGACACCTATGAGATTGATAGGCAGAGTTAATATTTTTTTAAATCAGATACTACAGACAGGATAGCTGGAAGATCATTTTCTACCCTAAAGATAAATTTGAACTTGCTCTGCTCAAAGGATTTTATAAAGCTTAATTTTAAAAGGGCATATGTACATTTTTATCACTAATTTTCATGTGTATAAATTTTAACATTGGATCTTAACTGATAAAAATTTCAATATTTAGTTTCCCCCAAATTCCAAAGAAACTGTCTAAACAGGTTATTAAAGCTTCTTGGTTCCTTCTGTAGTTTATACGAAACAAGCTTGCACTTGCACTTAGTTCTGATATGTGATCACAAGAAAAGGCAGTAAGAGGAAAGGCATCCATTCTAGCAGGCAGTGATGTGCATTCTTCCTGTAGTGACAGTGACCTTATCCATCCACGCCAATGCAACCATCCTAAGTAAGAATCGTGCAACTGACAGAAACTAAGAAGAAATTTATAACTGTAAGGCAAAAATATTTTTTTTAAGAAAACTGGCTGGCTCTTAAAAAGAGTAAAATCACTGCAGGAACCTCATTAGACTAAGGCTCTAATCAAGTAAATCATGCGGTCACTCGGGAACGCCAGAAGTCCCCTGTTACGTGAGTACACAGATACAGCACCGAATAAGCAATGTCATTCCGAATTCCCTATCGCTCTGGCACTGTCAGTGGGGTTGCTGCACTGAAATGCTCTACTCCTAGTGTCTTGGGAGGCACAGCCACAAGAAGCCTCCCTCAAACTCTGTCCTTTCCTCATCTCCACTACTGGTGCATTGGGCCCTTCTCTTCTTGTTCCCCTGTACCAACTGACAGTCCTCCTCTCACCCCTTTCTAAACTCTACCTCAGGGAGCCCTGGACACCAGCACCCTTCCCCTCACCACCACCTCCCAGAGCCCATTCAGGAGTATAGACATTGGGGCAAGGGAGGGGAGTCTTCCACTGCACGGGTCTGCAGCACTGAAATGGGAGAGATGAGTCCTGGAAGCCTTGTTTGAACCATTTCCCCAGAGAAACAATTACAAAGAGTGGTTAAATTCCACTGTACCATCAGTACAACACTTCAGCTACATTACAGATTACAGGGGCTTTTATAGCCATCCTGGGAAACTCATCTATACAACATTGTTTTTATGGGAAAAACATAATCAGCCATTTACAAAACTTTGAAATTCAATCCCATTCATAAAATGAACGCTGCCTATATACAGTTCATGCTCCGAAGAACCTTTAGGCCTACTTTCAAAATGACTAAGAGCATACAGATGAGGTCTGTATTTCCTTAGTCAGGTTTGTTATTCAATACCTAACAGTAAAGCTGGCAAATACAATAGAAAATAAAATGCTTTTTACTACTAACTCATCTCATATTTATTCTTAAATCTACTATGTAAAATTCTCCTATCCCAAATGAGCATTATATTATGTACATAACCTAGATATACTCTTAACAATTTCAAAGAACAGCATGGGAATGTACCTTCACATATTCTCTCTGCAACATGAATTTAATAATATCCGTTATTGATTCTTTAATATCAGCAGGAAGATTCTGAAAAAAAAAAAGAAGAAGAAATTTTGGAAGCTACTATGTATAGTGAAAAAACAGACTGCATTTATTCTCAATTTATACTGTATTTTTTAAGTCAGTTAAAAAAAGTATTTTCCAAGAAACCTCACCCTTTTCCGTAGCTTTCTGAAAAGTGGTCTGAGGTAGGACTCGGTCTGTTTCTGGGTCGCACTGTTCAGTTTACCCTGCACACTGCGTTTCACATAATCTTCTCTGGCATTCAATTCTTTAGCCCAAACGCCAAGAAGAAACTGTTGAAAGGATGGGTAAGTTTAGACTACAATGCCACCCAGTGGTTCAGTAAATTAAAATGCTCTCTAGCACACAAAGACAGAATACAATCATCCTTAAAGTAAATGTCTTGATTAAAATGCCACCAAATAATATAGAATTAATAAGCTAGTTCTGCTTATTCGTCATGATAATGCTTTGAAGTAGTACCTTTGGCAAGTCACTAATTTCCCCAGTCTACATCTATTCCCAGCTCAAGGTAATTTGCTTCCCTCAAAAAAGAACTATCAAGTTTCACAGTTAACTATTTGACAGGAAATGAACTTGTATTTGTATTTGTATTACATACATAAAATTCAACAAGTTACAAGTTACAAAAAAATTGGACTTTCTACATATGCTGTAGAGACCATGATTAAGTTTAAAAACCACTCAAGCACCTGACTAAAGGAGAGGAAGGAGAAAGAGAAACAGAAATACAGAAGCCAAGACCCAGCATTCCCACCTCCACCCCTAGAGAACTACCTCGTGGCCCTCGGGTTTAACTGTATAAAGGGCACCCTTTCTGGAAGTAGGAAACAGAGAAGCCTGACGAGGATGTTTTCCTCTAGGCACATCATCTATGCATATCCTATAAAAGAAGAGGCCATCATTCAAAGAGGAAATTCTAGTTCATACTAGTTCCTATGCCCTATCTAGTTCCATGCCGTATCCTCAATATATTCAGAATCTTGATGACTAATATGTTGTATCTAAACTGCACATACAAGAAAAAGCATTCATTGCATGTAAATCTCTTGGTCTGAACACAGTTTGTAAATAAACATTAAAATATCTGGGATTTGTTCACACTCTACCTAGACCACTAAAGAGAGAAATGTTGAGAAGAAAGTTGGAATCAGCAAGTCATAGCAAAAACAGGAGTTATCTGTAGAAACGAAGAAATGCACACTCTCTGACAGGTTACAAAAAAAAAACTAAACAATTAGCTGGGCGTAGTGGTACATGCCCTACTATTCGGGAGGTTGATGAGCCCAGGATTTCAAGGTTACAGCGAGTTATGATGACACCACTGCACTCCAGTCTGGGCACCAGAGAAAGACCCTTTCGCAAAAAAAAAAAAAAAAAAAAAAAAAGCTAGAACCCTCTTCTTCCTTAGGTTATCTAAAAAAAATAAGAAATTCAGCTGGACACTGTGGTTCACACCTGTAATCCCAGGACTTTGGGAGGCCAAGGCAGGGAGATCACTTGTGGTCAGGAGTTCAAGACCAGTCTGGCCAACAGGGTGAAACCCTGTCTCTACTGAAAAAAACATATATATACACATACAAAAATTAGTCAGGTGTGGTGGCATGCTACTCGGGAGGCTGAGGCAGGAGAATTGCTTGAATTCGGGGAGCAGTGGTTGCAGCAAGACGAGATTGTGCCACTGCATTCCAGCCTGGACAACAGAGCAAGATTCTGTCTCAAGAAAAAAATAAGAAACTCTACCAACTTCTTATTAATTCTGCTGTTGTGATTCTTTTCTATGTGTTTACATTAATGAGTCAGCTTTAAAAAACATGCCACAAGAAAAGTAGGCCAGGCACAGTGGCTCACACCTGTAATCCCAACACTTTGGGAGGCTGAGGTGGGTGGACCTCCTGAGGTCAGGAGTTCAAGACCAGCGTGGCCAACATGGTGAAACCCCATCTCTACTAAAAATACAAAAATTAGCTGAGCATGGTGGTGGGCGCCTGTAATCCCAGCTACTCAGGCGACTGAGGCAGGAGAATCACTTGAACCCAGGAGGTGGAGGTTGCAGTGAGCTGAGATTACTCTATTACACTCCAGCTTGGGAGACAAGAGCGAGACTCCGTGTAAAAAAAAAAAAAAAAAAAAGCCACAAGTAAATATGCATTTTCTCTCACTAACTGCTATATCTAGTGCATAGCGATATCATAAACATCATGTATGTGCGAGAAATGTGTATTGAGGTTTTCCCGTTCCAGCCTTTAACCCTTGGTAATCCAAAAATATAAGAATAGTTCGTAAGGATCCAAGGCATCCTCCTCCCCTGGCCTAAGACACGCACCTTGAGGAATTTGGTGATGATGTCCATGTCTTTATGATCATCGCCTTTCCCTAAGGACTCTCCCAGCGCCTGAAGAAAAACAAACAATACTTCTGTTCATTAATACAAAGCAATAACTACACATATATATTACCAACACCAGTCTAAACATGGCTGTTGGTCACACATGCTGTTCAATTTTTACTTAAAAACCTGATGGAATTTCTAGATAAGAAATCAAAACCAAAAAACATGGACTTGCCACTTAAACTTGGAGAGCATGTTATCTTTTATGAAAAGTCAAGAGGTGGTAATGAATGTGAGATTTCTTTTCGGGTGGGGGAACAAAAATGTTCTAAAATTAGATTGTGATGATGGTTGCACCACCATGTGAATATACTAAAAACCACTGACTTGTATATGTTACATTGGTCAATTGTATGGTATGTCAATATCTCAATAAAGCTGTTTTTTAAAAATAAATAAATAAATACACTAATGGGGGGAAAAGCACACAACTGGTTGCCCATACCAATTATTTTAGTAAAATTTAGGGACCATAGACAGGTATTGGAGGAAGGAGGGGATTCAAATGACATCTTCCTCAACTATGATCTCATTCAGAGGGACAGCTACACGTGCAAGAGCCAGGAATTAAAGGAAGCATAAAAATAACAGTTTATGTTTCCTTAAGCATTAAGAACTTTAACCCATATTTATTTTACATGTTAGATACTTACATGATACAAAATTGCTTTTTCATTAAGATTATACATTAACACTCCACAAGCAGCACTGTGGCAAAAATTAGACAGCAAGATATTGCCAAGCGTTAGCAGGGCTTGAAAGACACGAGGGCCTCACACTGCTGGGTGTAGACTAGGACAGCCATTCCAGAGAGCAACTTGGCAGTACTTAGACAAGTTAAATATACATATATAAATCCCACAATCCCATTTTGTTAGGCCATCATGGTTATGCACAAGACTGTTCATCAGAAAGCTGTCTGTGGTAGGAGGGAGCTGGGAACAATCTAGCTGTCCATCATTACAGAAGAACAAAAAGTCAAATGCAGTGAATGGCATAACACATGGAATCCTATGTAGCAATTAAAAGCAAAGGATTCAATGTACATACAGCATCAAGGATGGCTCTTAAAAACATAGGGCTAAATGAAAAAAAGACAAGTAAAAAACAGAATAAAGAATGTCACAGCATAACATCATTTCTGTAAATCAAAAATACATGCTCACAAAACACTGCAGGTCACAAGAGCAGCAACAAACAGAAGGATGTGCATCCAACATATTAGAATGGGTTCCTTTTGAAGGCAGGAAGTAGGGGAATGTGAGTGGAGGATGAGAAAAAGGGGAGTAAATAAATAAAAGCAGGGAGTAAATAAACAAAGACCAAAGATGACAGTGTGCTCTGCACTCAACAATCTGCCCGACTCAGCCATCTGCTCCACAGGAAAGAAGGGTGCCAGCTATGTGCTGGGCTTGGTATAGAGATTACCTCTAACTCTTCAATTGTGGTATTTTCCTCATGAACTTTCAGATCATTCTGTGTGTCTTCCTCTCCAGGCTCCTGACCACCGACGATTTCATTGAGGTACTGCTGATCAATCTTGTCCAAGGCTGCTTTCAGATCATTCCTCAATCCCTAAGAAAAGTAAAAAAGGAAGAACAACTGTTACAAAATTTCACTGTTGTTTCACCTTTGATTTTTCATTAATACTGCAAGTATTTTTCCCCCCACAAGAAGTTAAGAGTTCAGCAAAAGCAGGAACTCAAATGACATCAATTTATCACACAAGTATCATTACTGTTCGTTTAAAGTTAATTCTTATGGACATATTTAAATTAAAACAATGCATGAACAATGGCCAGTCTGCTGGTCAGAAAAAAAATACACGTGAGTGACGAATCCAAATAAGAATCTTCATAAATGCTGTAATTTTCTAATGAGGCTTAGTGAAAGTGGCAGGTCTCCATTAGAGTCCCCAAGCCATTTGCCCAGCTCATTTACAATGTCTAACCTCAACTACCGTGAACTCCCAAAACATTCAGAAATGTCGGTGTAATAAAATTGGTGCCTCATCTATATCCCAGGTTCTCAGCTATGTTTCTAGCAAACCAGCAAATTCACATTTTATGCACATATGGTTCATGACCATTTAATGAAAAATGGAAGCCTCATCTTCCTAAAAATGAATGAGAATCAGCTGCAAGGTTTAAGAGCCAAGGAAACATGGCCGTGAGGCGGCTATAGGGTAATGGTTGAGAGTGAAGGCTATCTGGGTTCAAATCCTTGCCACATACTATTAAATAGCTCTTCAACAGTTTGCTTAACCCCTGTATGCCTCAGTAGCCTCACCTACAGAATAGGAGTAATGATACCATCTACTATGTAGGGCTGTCATGAGGATGCTATTTTTTATTTCAGTGAACAGTTACTATGTGATGAGGCTGTTCCAGAACCTCGCAAACATCAACTCAAATAAGTAAACTAAGAAATGGACGATGTGCTTTTAACAGTTACTGGAGCACAGTGCACATTCAACCAACGTTAACTCCTAACGTTCTTACACGGAAAGCATCTGATCATTGTCTACTGTCCCTTCATAAACACAGAAGAAAAACATTCAACTCAAAACACTTATAATTTCTCAAGCACTGACTGATCACCTGCTGTGTATAAAGTATGACACCAGGCATTCCCAGAGGTCACCTCGTTGAATTCTCAGCGCACCCCGGTGAGCCAAGTATCACTGCCTCTGTTTTACCAATGAGGATTCCAAGGCTCAAACAGATTAAAAGACTTGCCAACGGTCACATAATTGATGATTATAATCCAGGAATGGAATCCAGACCTTGTGCTCCTGTGCTTTCTCCTCAAAACCTCTAGATGCACGGCACAAGACTTGGCATACAAACGTAAAACAGCCTTTGCCCACCAGGAAGAAATAAATATGCACATAACTCTAATAATAGTAAAAAAACAGTAAGTACCCTAACAAAGGTTTACTCATAGGCGCATGGAGAAGGAAACAATTAATTCTGACTGGGATCAAAAATAGATTCCAAGAAAAGATGTGGTCATTGAATTGCATGTGAAAGTATAAAAACAAGATTTCAACCAGAGCATACAAGACAGAAACACAGCAAGCAAAGGAAAAATGATCATTACAGACACAGAGGACTGAAGGCAACTGCTAGTGTTGTGGGGCTGGAATGGCAATGCTGGGAAGTGAAGCAGGAAAGTGGTTTGGCAACAAAGAAAGCAGTGAGACAGCCCAGGCTAGCAGAGAGGGAGCAGGTCGGGGAGCGGGCCTGGCCAGCCCCAGCTATTCCCGCCATTCAACTGAAATGCTAGGAAAGGGGCAAGATATCAGCTTAGAAGACCAGTCCAGGAGAGGCCTCAGATGACTTCAGTCACAGCCTTCATCTCCCTGCAATCACAAGAAAGACCCCAAGCAAGATACTGCCCAATCCAGCCCAATCAAACCACAGAACTGGTAATTAAGACAATAAAAAATTATCTTAAGCTACCAGGTTTCAGGGTGGCTTGTTAGTCACCAAAAACAGATTCTGTAATAATAAATTCTTTACAATAAACAAACACTAGAAAGTTTTGGAGTAGTCTGTTACATAGTCATAGATAACCACACCTGTTTCTCAATAATTCAGAAAGCAAGTAGATAAAAAGTTAGCAAGGCCACAGAAGATCTGCACAACACTATCATCATTGGCATTTGTAGAACTGTATCATGAAAGCAAAACAATACTCTTTTCAAGAGCCTGTGGAATAAACCATATGCTAAGCCGTAAAACAAGATCAGAGCCTTAAATGTAAAAGCAAAAACTATAATACTAAGTTTCTAGAAGAAAATAAAGAATATCTATTTGAAACCTTGGGATAGGCAAAGATTTCTTAAGCAGGACACAAAAAGCAATGACCATAAAAGGAAAAATCAATAAATTGGACTTCATCAAAATAAAAAACTTCTGGGCCGGGCACTTTGGGAGGCCAAGGCGGGAGGATCCCTTGAGTCCAGGAGTTCAAGATCAGCCTGGGCAACATGAGGAGGCCCCACCTCTATAAAAGTTAAAAAATCAGCCGGGCTTAGTGGCGCACACCTGTGGTCTCAGGTACTTGGAAGGCTGAGGTGGGAGATCGCTTAAGCCCAGGAGCTAGAGGCTGCAATGAGCCATGACCATGCTGAACTCCAGCCTGGGTGAGAGTGAGACCCTGACTCAAAAAGCATGTGTGCGTACACACACACACACACACACACACACACACCCACACACCCCCTTCTGTTCAGCAAAAGATTCAATTAAGAGAACAGGTAAGCCATAAACTACAAAAAACTAGTCATGAAAAATATTCGTATATCTGACAAAGAACTTCTATCCAGAATATATAGAGAATTCCTATAATCCATTAACAAAAAGACAAGTTTATTTTTAAAATGAACAAAAGGCGCTTGTAATCCCAGCTACTTGGGAAGCTGAGGTGGGAAGACTGCTTAAGCCCAGGAGGTTGCGGCTGCCATAAGCCATGATTATGCCACTGCATTCCAGCGTAGGTGACAGAGTGAGACCCTGCCTCAAAAATAAATAAATAAGGAGAGACTTCAATAGACACTACACAAATGAAGACAAGTCTATGAAAAGATGCTCCTCATCTTTAGTCACCAGGCAATGTGATTAAAGCCACAATAAGCTACTACCAGACACACAAGAGAATGGTTAAAATTAAAAAGACTAACAATACCACATGCTGGGGTTTGGAAATGACTGGCAATTCTTACGAAGTTAAGCATACATCTACTCTTACTATCCAGCAATTCTACTTCTAGGTATCTCCCCAAGAGTCGTAACATATTTACCCAAGAAAAATAACATAGTTCCAAAAAAAGATTTGCATAAGAATGGTCTAGCAGTTTTATTCAAAGATTCAATTAAGAGAACAGGTAAGCCATAAACTACAAAAAACTAGTCATGAAAAATATTCATATATCTGACAAAGAACTTCTATCCAGAATATATAAAGAATTCCTATAATCCATTAACAAAAAGACAAGTTTATTTTTAAAATGAACAAAAGGCGCTTGTAATCCCAGCTACTTGGGAAGCTGAGGTGGGAAGACTGCTTAAGCCCAGGAGGTTGCGGCTGCCATAAGCCATGATTATGCCACTGCATTCCAGCGTAGGTGACAGAGTGAGACCCTGCCTCAAAAATAAATAAATAAGGAGAGACTTCAATAGACACTACACAAATGAAGACAAGTATAAAAGGAAAAATCAATAAATTGGACTTCATCAAAATAATCAGGCATTCCCAGAGGTCACCTCGTTGAATTCTCAGCGCACCCCGGTGAGCCAAGTATCACTGCCTCTGTTTTACCAATGAGGATTCCAAGGCT